GTAGAACTCAGTGTGAGTTCTCATTTGAGGTGATGCTGCCCTCAAATTTGAGTCTGGAGCCCTGTGAACTTCAAATAAAACTGCATATCGTAATATCTGCACGTTAAGTCTCTTTATTATTAAAGAATTTGTCAGTATTACAGTTATTTTGGGGGAAATTTGAATAATTGCATTGCAAGCTGATTTAAGGTGTGCCCCTAAATTTTCTGCTTGTGCTCCTAAAATTTTCAGTCAGGGGCAACAGCGCTCCTAGTAAAAAAAGTTAGTCTGGAGCCCTGTATATATATATATATATATATATATATATATATATATATATATACAAACAGTTTATATACTATATATATAAACAGTTAGGTCTGGTCGAACAATATATTAATTAAATTCAGATTGGCTTATGTTGGTAATGGGCACTTACCCAATGCTAAAGAAGTTTTCTTGCCTCTAACAAGTGCTCTCGACCTTCTTTTTGATCTGAATGTGGAAAACACTTGAGTTTTGCCACAGACGTGTCCTACCGTCTAGAACGCAACTGAATGCTTATTCAAGCGCCTTCAAACTTGGAAAAACCACGGAAAAATACTTTTAAACAGGAAATTACCGAATATTTACGTACATATTTACAGCGTGTCTATTCGCACGGGATTAGTATCACCTGAGGTCATTTTTCCGGACCTTGATTACAGAAGGTAAAAGTCGTCGTAATGATTAATGAGATGGCACATTGAGACGGGACTAAAATCACTGAGAAGCTCTGGTAATAATTACTTTACTCCACCTCTCCATGTTAAACTAATGCTGTCCGAATAGGGCTTAAGCTTGGTGGCCGTTAGCAAACGCCTGAAATCGATTACGGAGCCTTTATCTGGGAAAAATATGGCACTTTGAGTTTCTTTGCATTAAAAGCATCTGCTAAAGCAAAAACGTATTTCTTCCCCTTCCAGTCGCCCTGCCGGTTCCGAACCGACGCCCAAATCCCGGATCTCTGAGCTTCCTCCTGTCAGTTCTGAGCATGTCGGTGGTTACCGTCTGGCAGCCGCCACCTTTGCTGGGGTGGAGAACAAGTTCGGACTGCACCTGCCCAAGTTCAAATCCTCCGGGGTCATGACCATTCACTCCGAAACGCCCAAGGAACAAGCTGGCGCATCATAAAGACAAGCCCCGCCCACCATGGCCTTGTCCTCCAATGGCTGCATGCCTCCCTCCCATTTGCCTACATTTTTCCACACTTTATTTTCTCGTTCATTTCTTTCAGTTTTTAGGTGGGGGACATGGGAAATTATACTCGTTTTCAGAGTCTTGTTGCTTTTAACCCATATCAGTGCCTCAGTTCTGATGAAGAACACTGGTTAGAGGTCATTGTGTGTTTGCTAAAGCACAGGGTAGATGTTTGCCACACTGATCAAGACCTAAAGCGACATACAGTGAATTATCCATCAAGGGCCCTAGAGAAGTTCATCAGCCGCTGGCTAATAGTGAAACGACTGAGCTAAAGAGCTTTTCATGAAACACTCCTAAAAGAAAAACCGTTGTGTTTTATGTGTCTCCACTCCCCAAGACGCACATTCGCTGCTTTTGAGTTTTAGTCTCATGATTTCTGATGTATAGTTGTGACTGAAGCATGCTGTAGTGCGTTTCATTTGCTCATTCGGCTTTGCGTAGCTTTGCACATGTACTGTATATACATGTACATCTCATGCACAGAGACGTCTCTCTCTGCGTCACACTGACTGATGTACAGAGCTTTCAAAACTTGTGATCAAGGAAATCATGGTCGATTTAAAAAGTAGAAAATAATTTAAATGCATTTAATTCTTGTATTTTATGGAAATAAATCAACATGGTTCAATTTTATTTCTGATTTGTGAAGGTTTTATTGGGTTTATTACAGCAAGTTACAAAAGAGGTTGGATAAAGTGAATTAGTGAAATTGTTGCAAGAGCACAGGGCATCAACACGCTTGTCCTGCTCACTTCAGTCATCAGGTAAATCAGGGTTCCCACACATTTTGATCAATGGATCGTCAGTTATGTTTCTATTCATGATTACTGGATGTTTCTAAAAGCACAAAGTGCAATTTCTAGCTATGGAAATACGATTATGTGATATAATCTGTGATCATTGTGCACTTGAAAGTCCAATTATATTTCCATTCAAATAAGGGAATTTTAAGCAAATATACACTGCCCGGCCAAAAAAAGAGTCGGTGTTTGGATTTAAATAGTCAAATGGTTAAGAGTCTATGACTGGATCATTATTGCAGTGATTATGTTTCTAGCGTGTTAGTGTTTGGCAGCAATGATAACCCTTATTGATGGAGTGTGTAGTTTTCATTTCTTAAACAAACATGCAGGAAGACACATCATGGCCATATTCCAGGATGACAATGTCAAGATTTATCAGGTTCAGATTGTGGGAGAATAGTTGTGAGGAGCATGAAGAATCATTTTCACACATGAATCGGCTCCTCTGAGTCCAGAGCTGAAACTCATTGAGAGTCTTTGGGATGTGCTGGAGGAGACTTTACACAGTGCTGGACTCTTGCATTGACAATACAAGATCTTGAGCAAATATTGATGCACATCTTGATGGAAATAAATGTTGTGATGTTATTTCCATCAAGAGGTTCATTGCATTGTCATCCTGGAATATGGCCATGATGTGTCTTCCTACAGGTTTGCTTAAGAAATGAAAAGCTACACACTCAATTAGGGTTAAAGGTGCGGTTGCCAAACACTAACATGCTAGAAACATAATATTCACTGCAATAATGATCCAATCATAGACTCTTAAGCATTTGACTATTTAAATCCAAACAGCGACTCTCTTTTTTTTTTTTTTTGGCCAGGCAGTGTAAAAATGCCATGAAATATGCATTTTATGTTTCAAGGTAATTGTGAATAAACTATGGGTATTAACACAAAACTCTTTCCTGACAGTGTTTTTTTTTTTTTTTTAAGGTGCCAGCCAGCGACAGGATCTTAGATCATTTTCACAAGGTTTTCATGACCCCCAGAATATTTTGCATGAATATCTGAACATACAATCTATCAAAAGAAAGAACAGAGCCTCTGCTGTTAAACAAACAAACAAAATCCTTTTTATTCTAGCTTCATGCATTCTTTTTTTTATTAACATTTGAATATGGGTAAGTTTCATTAAAGCAACATTTTGAACAAAAAGCTGAGAAAATCAAGTTGTTGTCAAAGACTTCGCCTGGATCGGATTCAGAACGATGATTAAAACACAGATGGAGTAGATCGAGTCCATCAACACCCACAAAGCTTGTACAGTCATGTACCTCTCTGGGTTCGACATTTTATTCAGTAACGTTATGCAGTTTTAAATGTATATGCTGTTTTATGATTGCGATAGCTTACATGTGCGTAAGCAGTGCTTCTATCGCTTGTTTCTGCTGCTTCTTTTCTGGTTTCGAAACTGAGATTCTGTGCTATTCCACCAGATGCATAACAGCGCCCCATGCCGTATAACAGTCAAAACATGGGTTGCCGGAGCCGGAAAAACTCGACAATGGCAGGGAAAGAGTTAATCGCCAGCCAAAAGCCCATAATCATGAAATCCAAAGCTATAGAAACTTTTATTTACACAAATTTTCTGGACCAAGATCAATTTTAAAATTCCCTGATTTGTCTGATTTCCATGACTGTGGGAATCCTGATGAATGTAATTAGACGTCAGATACAGAGGTAAATATCTAGAGCTTCCTTCCTTTCACCAGTCATAAAACAGAAAACCAACAACACAAAGGAAACAGACATAAACAGAATAGCTTTGGTTCAGAATGCGTCTAGATTAAGGCAGGTTTGATTTTCTGGGCTGGTTCGGGGTTTTTTCTTTTCATTTTCGTTTCATTTTAGATGCTCTGAACTCTTTAATTGGCCTAAAGTCTAGGTTCAATTCACGTCCTTTAAAAACATTATAAATTGCCAATGTTTTTTTTCTAACAGCAAGATTTTAAGCTAAACATTTATGTGAAGGTAAAAGGGAAGCTCTTTTCAGGTCTTGTCAGTTACACTAATTAATGTTGCTTGTACAATGTCAAGAAAAATACATAAATTAGATAAATACTACAAAAAATCCATAGAAAATGAAAAAATTAATATTTAAAATTTCTGTAAGAGCACTCACGCTATAAACTGGGAGGTCGTGAATAAAACGTTAAATTGCAGATTAAAATGGTACAAAACACACTAAATATAACAGGATGCAAGCCGGTTATTAATTACTTGGCTTAAAATATATTAGTATAATAAATGGCAAAATAATAACACTGTATATTAGTCTAAATATTTGCCCAAGGGAAGTTTTAAGTTTAGGCCAACAGGTTTTGAAATGCTAATCAAGGAACCACAGCCCCTTTAAAAATGACAAAACACTGAGCATTTTTTACACTTTTTGCAAAGGGAAAAAAAGTTTTTCAGTCATAAGTGCCAGGATGAACAAGCACCAGAAGGATATAATGCGGTGTGATGGAAGATTGTGGATAGGTGTGTGTTCTAAGCTTCGCTTTAAGGCATTCAGAAGTAAGAACTGAGATACATGTTGGAAAGTGTGTGCGATTTGAGTTATTACAAACGTACATGTTCAGTCTTTATCAGCTAAAAACAAAACGCATTTGTTAAAAAGCTATAAATATTCCAATAATGTGAAAGTTTGCCCAGAAGGGAATGTTAAAAATATTCCACCTCTTAAAACCCGCTTTCTGCAGTTCCTCTAGGACTAGGTTACGTCAGTGTCTTAAATGGTTATAAAGATGCTGTACAATAGTTTGCATATTCGTAGTGCTAATGCTGCTGTACAGCAACGAATCATCCCTTTCCTCCAAATCAGCCTCTAATCTGATAAATATATAAAAACATTATAATTTACACCTGATAAGATCTACGTTAACTAACTTTACCATCCCATCCCACTACGAATATTCCTCCAAAAATGTTAGCAACACTAAAAGTGCTTAATGTGTTAAATGTGTTAATAATCCATTTATAATTCAAAAGCCCTAGATTGTCGTCCAGTAACACTAAAAGAACTTCAGAGAGGGTGGAGATATGCAAATGCAGGGGAACCGTGATTGGTCAGAAGGGGTTGCCGTGGTGATCATGCAGCCAATCGTTGAGCAGCCAGTTCCTCCACATCCTCCCGGTTCTCGTTGATCTCTGCGAGCGTGCGCACAAACCGAGTCCACTCGTCCTGCCGGGGCACTGCAATTTGCTGCAGACGAAAAACACCAGATGAGTTTCAATGACAACCTTATGGAAGCTTGTTTCCGCTAGGGAATAAACCATTTGAAAAAAGTAATTGCGACTTTTCCATCTCACAATTCTTACTTTTGCCCCCTCAGAATTTGCAATTTTATATCCCACAATTACTGGACAAATTTCAGAATTGCGATATATAAAGTCAGAATCTGAGAAATAAAGTCACAAATGCAAGAAATAAAGTCAGAATTGCAAGAATAAACTTGCAAATATTTTTTTTCTCTTGCAATTGTGGGAAAAAAGTCAGCTGACCATTTCATCTAACAATTCTGACTTTTTAACTCGCAATTGCAAGTTTTTATCCCACAATTATGGGAACAAAGTCAGATTTGCTGTATATAAAGTCGCAAATGCAAGAATAAACTATTCTGAAATTGTTTTTTTCTAAGATATAAACTCACAATTCAGACTTTTCTCGCAAAATCTCGCAATTATAACTTTTTTTCTCAGAATTGTGAGATATAAACTTGCAATTGTGTGGAAAAAAAAGTCAGCTGACAAAAGTTACTAGTCTCAGCATTTTCACTGGAAAAACTGCCATATAGATATTTTCTAATATTATCTCATAATGTGGCAGTGGGTTTATTAGGCTGCTGTCACTTTAAGACCTGATGACTGTTACACATGCGTTTTCTTTCTCAAATGTTTACATTCACTTAAAACATAACAGAGTATGGAGTATTCACGTAAATACAGTCCATTTAATTTACATTTATATATAAAAAAGCCAGCTTTTTAATTCCGTGGTGGATACAAGCTTACATCCAAACTACAGTATCTTTGACTATTGAAAGTGTGTCAGCAGTGTCGTCCTCACCTCTCCAACGTCGTAAATGTGCACCTGTCCCTCGGAGTCGCCGACGGCCACCTCTCGTCCCGAGTGAGCCCAGCGCACGCGGTTCAGCGCAGGGTTTCCTTCCACCGCTACGCTTGCTGTGGGGACCTGAGGCAGCACACAATCATTCAAGATCTGTGGATCTGGTCATATCATATTTCTATGAGATTTGTGTACCTCAGTTTCATTGTTAAGGTTCCACAGGTCCAAACGTCCGACCCCGTCCACACAAGCGAACAGGGCCGGGTGTGTGGGTGACCACATGACGTCATACACGTAGTCGGAGTTGTCCTCGAAAGAGTACAGAGGCTTATTGTTCTGTCAGGAGAGACACACAGACCAGTGTTGCTACTGTTCACTAAAACAAAAAAACTATTAAAAATTGCTAAAATCAATTAGAAATATTAGAATAGAAATGAAAACACTGAAATAATGAGCTGATGGGAATGCCATTTATCAATACAATTTCTCAAGTGTTGTCACAATCTTTTTTTTGTTGAACTTAAATAAAATAAGTTTAGTTGAAGTAAAAGACTAAATTAAATTTAAAAAAAAACTCAAATGAAAATGCTAATAGAATCAAGCCAAACAGAATTTAAAAAAAATGAAAATGACAAAAGGACATAACAAAATTATTAAAATTAAAATAAAACTAATACTGACAAGTAAAAAAAAAATACTATAATAATATATAAATAATACTAAATGAATCCTCCATGGGATCTGAGTTTGCACTTCAGTAGTGTAGATGTAGTTTCGACACTAAAACAGAAGTGTGCTCATCACCTTGGTGCTCCAGAGTTTGACGGTCCAGTCAAAAGAGGAAGTGACGAACAGGTGAGAGAAGTCGACCGGTCCTGCCGCCGTGTGGCAGTCGAGCCCTGTGATTGGTCCATGATGACCCTCGAACATCTCACTGATGCCCGCTTTACTACAACACACACACACACCAACAGAAATCAAGGACTTGTGCGGATCCTGACACAAAAAGTCCTGGCTCACACACACTCTTACCTGCCATGTCTACAGGCGGTGTAGATGGACCCGTCCTCACTGCCCACAACAAAGTTATTGACATCACCCAGAGGAAATGACATGGAGGTCACGGCAACTGCTTTGGACTGTTTAAACACGAGCTCCAGACTGTCCTACACACACACACACACACACACAGCAGGTGTGAGTTTGACTCTTGTGTATCTGGATGAAAGAGAGCAAATGGCGCTGTTTCAAACCCTAGTGAGTTTCCTACTAAGACTTTTTTGTTGATGTTTTTAGGATTCATAGAATTTTTATATTAATGCTCTTGGCAGACGCTTTTACCCAAAGCGACTTACATTGCATTCAAATACATGTTTTACCAGTTTATGCATTCCCTGAGAAAAAAGTTTGGGGTCGGTGAGATTTTTTGAAAGAAGTCTCTTCTGCTCACCACGGCTGCATTTATTTCATCAAAAATACAGTAAAAACAGTAAAATTGTGAAAAATTATTACAATTTTAATTAACTGCTTTCTTTGTGAATATATAGTCAAATGTAATTTATTCCTGTGATCAAAGCTGAATTTCAGCATCATTACTCCAGTCTTCAGCGTCACATGATCCTTCAGAAATCATTCTAATATGATGATTTGCTGCTCAAGAAACATTTATGATTATTATCAATGTTTAAAACAGTTGTGCTGCTTCAAATTTTTGTGGAAGCTGTGATTTCTTTTTCCAGGATTCTTTGATGAATAGAAAATAATTTATTTTATAAATTTTATAACATGATATATGGCTTTGGCAAATGTAATGTGTCCTCGCTGCATAAAAATATCAATATCTTAACAAAAACAAAAACAAACATTACTGAGGCAGTGTGTGTGTGTGTGTGTGTCACCTGTGGTGTAGACAGCATGTCCAGACTCCAGGAGCACATCTTCCCATCCGTGGAGATGCTGATGAGATTATGAGCGTTCTGAGTCCCCACCACATTCACACAGTACACCGGGTGCTGGAGAGAGAGAGAGAGAGAGAGAGAGCAGTGATGGAAATGAGCCACGGGAACAGTGTGGATGAAGATGATGCATTGCAAGGCAGGGGTGTACCGTGTGAGCTGAGGCTGAGAGCGGCGTCCTCTGCACAGGGGTGCGTTTGTTGCTCCGGTTGTCCCACAGGACGATCTGACCCGAGTACGTGCCTCCAACCACCAGATTAGGATGAAACTGTGCGAGCGCTGCTGACATCACTGCAGACTGAACAAACACACATATTCCATGAGCCACGTGACATTTGAACCGCAACATAATAATATATTATATAAAATTATGTGATATATAATATTTAATAAAATAAAATGACTAAATAATTGTTGTTATTAACAATACATTTAGTTCATTATGTACTTTGGCATCTTGAGCAGGTTCAAGCCTTCCATGAACCTGTAATTCACACACTGACTGGGCATATTATAACCATTTTTAAGAATTTCTAGGTTTACTGTGTGATTTGTTTATGCATGTATGTATGTATTTATTAATAAATTAATTTTAATAATCCACCCATCCATCCATCCATTCTCCAAAATTAAAATGAAACTACAAAAATAATTAATTAAAATCATTTTGTATTTTTTTATTTATTATTTTTAATGTAATTATCTATTTTAATAAAAAATATGTATAATTATTTTGTTTTTCAATCTCAAACTTTTTTCGGTTGAATCCACAATCTTCTTCATTTCCATGAGATAAATAATTTGTGATCTTAAGACGAGATCATAATAAAACCAAGACAAAATTAGGTTACACTTTATTTTAAGATGTCCTTGTTACACTGTAATTATACATTTAAGTACTGAGTAATAACAATTAACTACATGTACTTACTACTATAGGGTTAGTTGCATGTAATTACGGATCATTTAATGTTATTATTACTATAGTGTGTACGTGTGTAACAAGGACACTGTAAAATAAAGTGTTAGCCAAAATAGTTTTGTTTTTTTTAATGCATAGAGATATGCATTGAGATGGTCACCTGGCAGTGGAAGACATATTCCGGTGTGGTTTTCTTATATTTCATGTTCCAGACGAGAGCCACGCCGTCCGGCTCATGTGGCGCATCCTCATTACTACAATATGATGCCAACAGCAGCTCAGGGTACTGATGGGAACCAGAAAACAGGAACAGTGAGGGGAACTACACTGAGAAGGTAGTATTGAACTAAATACACACTATCAGGTAAAAGTTTGGACACACTTTGCATGATCATGTACCTGTGGTGACCAGTCGAGACACGTGACGACTCTGTGTTTAGACCAGCGTTCGTCCGCAAACTGTCTGTTCAGGTAGAGTTTGGCCCCGGCCTGCGACTCCCTGAAACAAACACAGTTACACGTCACACACCAGATCTGATAACAGATCAACAAGCACTCTCCTCACTCACCCCTCTTTATCCTGAAGGTCTCGCCCGCTGTAGTCGAAGAACACATCCACCTGCTCAGAGAGCGCGCGCTCCATGATACGAGAGCTGTGGTCAAAGAAAGTCACGAACTCCGACGAGTGAAGAATCTGCTGTTTCTCTTCCTCCGTCAGCTCATGAGGCAGCGCTACACACAGAAAAAGTGTCCTCCATTAATAATCACTTAAAGGGTTAGTTCACCCAAAAATGAAAATGATGTCATTAATGACTCGCCCTCATGTCGTCCCAAGCCCGTAAGACCTCTGTTCATCTTCGGAACACAGTTTAAGATATTTTAGATTTAGTCCGAGAGCTTTCTGTCCCTCCATTGTAAATGTATGTACGGTATACTGTCCTTGTCCAGAAAGGAAATAAAGACATCATCAAAGTAGTCCATGTGACATCAGTGGGTTAGTTAGAATGTGTTGAAGCATCGAAAATAC